GAATTTTTAACAAATAGATACAGTTCAACTTAAAGATATTATTCCTAGTGTCAAGTTAAGATCTTCATATAGCGGTTACCGCTGTTACTGTGGCTACTGAAATTATGACATTCATATTTTTGAGTTTCACTTTAATAAAATAGTAATAAATCTGTTACAATTTTAATAACAACGGCAACGCTGTGCCTACCTACACATGTGATAAAATGTATCCCAGAAGGTGTATCGCTTAGCTTGGAATCGTCAAATTGACATTACTGGCAAGATTGGGACAAAATACTTTAAAACTAAATACAGTCTTATACTATACTATGGAAATTTAATTTTTACAATTTAAAGCTGTGTTGTCAAATCATCTGATATAAAAAATATCACGGAACTGAAGAAATGTTTAATCAACTCACTGATAATTCAAATTCCTTTCCTTGTGACGTTATCCTTGTTAAATTAATAATTTTGACCTAATTTCGGATATAATCAATGAATATATGAATTTATTTGGAATGTTCTATTATTCATTAGAAGAGAAATGGTTAGTCGTTAGTCATTGAATTTCAGAAGTAGATGGAATTTGCAGAACTGAGTTAGTATGTCACAAAGTATGTTAACCCACAATTAATCAGATTTATATAAAATAGTTATAATATTGTAGGCGGTTCTACAAACTGTAATTAAAATGATAGGTACATTATTATAAAATTACCATCTTTAACATTGGAGCTACAAAGGCATTTTTCCTTTGAGTAACTCACTTAATTTAGGCAAAATATAATTTGAAACACGATATGGCAACGTTACATTTTTACTGGGTTGTTGAAGATCTTTGACATTGGCAGTATTATTACTATGTTCGACTTGTACATATTTTGATTGAACATTTATTATTTTTGAAACCATTATTTTGTATTCGAAACAAACAAAGCATTTAGTAAGGTTGAACCTTTTTTGTATTTTTCTGAGCTGGTCCTACATCACTCAACATATTTAAAAAGAAACTGCATATATTTAACACCTAAAGTTTGAGGTTTTTAAAAAGACATGTATGTGTTCTTTTACCATATTTTTTTCACCTTATTCAGTTGAATAAATACATTTCGAGGCGTTTAAATAAAAAGATTTTTGAAATATTACAAGAGACAAGTTTTCAATAGCGAAATATTTGTGTCAATAAATTTACAGTCTTTAGGCATAAATAAAACTGGGTTAATTTGGAATGTGGTTATAAATTATACATCGTGCGCTTGTTATCAATTTAATAATTGTAATGACTTAAATGCCACACTCTGCATAATGAGTACCATACCAGGTATCCAGAAAATCTACAGAAAAAACGTATTAATCTGAAGGATCAAGAGGGGTATACACCAGAGGGAATTGGGTGTACAAAGGTGAGGGATTGAAAGGAGTTTTGAGAATTACCGGAGAGTTGTGGGAAGTTCCGAGGAATTACAGGAATTGCCAAAAAAAAAGAGGAACTGTCGGGAAATTAAGGGATAATTTTAAAGGAATTACGAGAATTGGATAGTAAAAAGGGATAGAGTACAAATTTTAACCTGTGGTTTACCCCTAGTGATATACATTTAATTGGCGTAACAGTCCTATGAGCTTCAATAATATGATCACCTGTGTGCAAAGGTTCCAGGTATGGAGGTACCCTGAGAAAACTAAAACTTTTCGACATTTTGATTATCTTCAAATGTAGAATCAACCACTGTTAATATTATTTTTTTTATTCCGATTTTAGGAGATCCAACGGACATTTTATTGTTTAATGATAAACTTTTTTTATTATTTAGAAAAAAAAAAAGTTCTAACATTATGCAGATTTATTTTTTCGCCATATTCAAGTATTCAAAAATGGTAATCATATAAAGAATATCAATAAAAAAAGTTTTTTGGAATTGCTGTTTTTGTTTGTCGTTTTCTGGACATCCTGTATACGGGGTAACTCTAAAGTTGATACTTGTATTTTTTTACTTTAAGAAGTATTAAAATAAACAAAATTTTCAAATTAACAAATATAAAAAATTCCAAACACGGACCTGTTTTTTTTGTGAATCACACCATGTGAGTTTATAAATGCTACATTATATGACAACAATGAACTAGTGGATGAAATGAAATGCAGGTTACACTGAAAATAAAATTTGGATTGATAACATCACAAATCCACACGTTTATTGAAGTTAAAGGCATTACTGACTGTACTTCTAGCCTATCCAAGATAAATCTGGCAACACAGCGATTGATTCCAGTTTCGGTAAATTGTAATCACGCGTTAATACATTTTTATTTTGCCACCGATTTTTTTATTTTTTCGAAAAACGTTCAGATTAAGTGAAACAAAAACAAACAGTTTTTTCTTTAAGTAGTTGTTAAAAGTGTGTATTGTCAGAGCCGAAATTTTTTGAATTTTTCGTTGTGATAAACTGTGTAATCTTACCGAAATAAAGTGGCTTTTGTTGTTACACCTGTAGCCCTCGCGTAATGACGGAATTGGTGGTGTTTTTAACCCGATTTTTAATCATTTCATTAAAATAAGTGTTAAAAAGTGTCTGGTGGCCCGTTGTTGACCCGTTACAATGTTGATAATAATTTTATAATTGTTTGGCTTATTAAATTAAATTATTTTAAAACAAGGTGAAAAGTTAATTTCCTTTTTCAATATCCGAATGAGGATAATTTAAGACAAAAATAGTTAAATGCAATTTTTAGAGCTAACAGTAATCCTTCAAAAACAGCAGTTGTTTGTTGCAAATACTTTCCTCAGAGTGAAATTATACGGGATGATAATCATTTGCAACCTATTGAAAATGTAATAAAAATTCCTGTAAAGGCTAAGTTCAAACCAAATACATGCCTCTATATTTTTCCAAATCTGTCTAAATATTTTTCAAAACCTGAACCGGAGAATCACATACTGAAAGAAAAAGGAACACATCAAACATTATAATAAATAAAGTGATGATATGTTTGAAAATGAAAAAGCCAATATTATCGAAAATTTGAGGATCTAGTGTCAAATTTTAAAACGAAAATTAATCTTAATAATGACTGGTGCATTAAAATGGTTGAAAATCTTAAAATCCGTTTTTATAGGCTAATATAGAACACAAGTGTTTAAATATTTTATGTCACATTACAGCGTGTAGACTTGATGCTTTTACTCTTTGCGGACTTGCCTTGGTTTGTTCATGGCTAGAAGTAGTCGGTAGTGGTAAATGCCTACGACTTTCAGTGCTTCACATTAGTTGTGAAAATGAATTGTTCGTTTTCGAAACAAAAAAAAGCTGGATATTATCACCCTGAAGTTTTGGAGGAATGAATTTTAAAAATTCTACAACATTTAAAGGAAAATGCAATAACTAATCTCGATAATGCTTCATATCACAGTCAATGACTTATTAAAGCTTCTACCACAGCTATAAAGAAAAAAGACATGCTAAACGTAGAATTAATAACATTTTGGTTGAGGAAAATAAGTTGACTGATAAATATGCCGTTGATGAGATGATGTTGAATTCGAAAAGATCAGTTTTATTGTAAATTGCAAATTAAAGTAGAGATGGCAAACAAAAGCAATACTTGTAAAATGACAGATGTCAGAAAGTTATTTCAAGAAGTTTTTGGAAATGAAACACCCCCAAATTGGAAAAATGCTTCAGAACATGTACAGAAGGAAGAATGTGGGAAACTGATAGGCTTATGGAAATTATTGTATCGACTTCAATTAATAATTTAGGAAGCGATTCTGACACCTCGGATTCTGATTAATAGTTATTTGTTCGTTTATTTCTCACACAACAAAATCCAAAATATAATAAACAAATAATATATAAGATGGAAAATAAAAGTAATAATCCAATTTAAATTAATATTTATCAATCAAATAATAAAATGTACACGTGTTCCCTTTACGTAATCATTCAGTTCGTTAATACGAGTATAGAGGAAAACCAATTTCCCAATTAATGCCGTTACGGAATAATGGTTTGGTGGCAACTTCAAACACATTATTTAAGTTAGGCAGGACCGTATTGGGCGCTTATTGGAATAAATTAATGTAAGTTTCTTATTTCTGTGAATTTTGAAAATGTTGTTTATTTTAAAATAGAAGTATCAACTTAAGAATATCAAATATTAAATGAAATAAAAATGGAGGCGGATATGATTTTTCACATTAATAATAAAATAGGGATTATTTGTTTTTATCATTCTGGAAGAAAGTTTAATAGTACTTCTGTTGCATTTTTATATTGTATTTATTTGAGAATTAATTATATGTACCACCAGTAAAAAACTAGGTATTATTTTCAAATTCTGATACTCTTTACAACAATTTAAGTCTATATATATAAAAAATGTTGATTAGAAAGCCTCCATAGTCTTGCCTATTAAAGGATTTTAATATAAAAATTTTGTCAAGCACTTTCAGTTCAAAAAACCATCATAATCTAAACATTCTTGCACTGTTTGTCCGAGAGGTAAAGCGCAGGGGGAATTAGATGTACAAGGACTGGGAATTGCGAAGAATTTACAGGTTTTTAAATGAATTGACAATTTTAAAGAAAGTGCGGGAATTGGATAGTAGAAAGGAATTAGGTGTACACATTTTGACCCGTAGTTTACCCCTCAGGTTTACCCATCAAAAACAACAAAGAGTAGCTTATTTAACCAGACATTGCGCTCACAAATTTTATTCACGTCAATTAATTCACCAATAAAAGAAACATAAATCTGGCAACATTACACGGGAAATTATTAGCGCACGTTTTTATAGTACGAAAAGGGAAAACATTTCAACAACGAATATAATAATAATTATTATAAAACTAGGTAGAACCTTTCCTTCCCGTCAACGGATGTTTTATAAGAGTTCTTGTACTATCTAAACTTTGTCTGTGCTGATTTAATCTAAGATTTTGGGCGATTTCGGGCTGTAATACTTTACAGATACCGCGGCATAGGGACGTGGAGAGCTTCGCTAACGAGCCGCCCTGTCAAGGAAGCACTTCGACGTAGTTTTCCGGTATCAAACCGGTTTTGCCGTTGAGCGTTCCTTCCAGCCAGCCGGGTTCCGGTGATGATTTTACTGAAATTGGAAAAAAAAAAACTAATATCGTCCTCCTTTTTACGCTCAGTAGATATGTAAAAAAAATAAACTTACCATTTGTAATGATCTGGTTTGGTTCGAAAGAAAGTTCGCCATCATGCTCGCCCAAACAAGCGTACAATGTCCGTACTCGTCTGAAATGAATTAAAATTAGATCGGATCCAAAACGTTTTGTAGATAAGGACGAATTAGGAAGCTACGCTGTTTTAGTACATCAACATTTCCCGTACAGTGCTACAAGTATCTTAAGTAAAGTTTGTATTATAATATTCTAACCTACAAACTTATCGGTAATTGCGGCCAGACCCGATCAAAAACTCTCTACTATCTCGTGAGCAGCTTAAATTATTATCGCATCGAAGTAAATTATTATTTACACATTAAAAATAAAAAAATTAGATCGAGGAAACGTGTGTCAAAAAATAATATTTTAATTTAATTTTAAAATTTGGGGTCATGGGAATTCAATAGACTAATAGCCATTTGGAAATTTTGCCGTTTGACATATACGAGGCGTATTTTTTAAGTAAGCACCGTTTTGATATTCCACCGTTGCAGCGCTGCGGTCGACATACCGCGCATGCGCTCTGCGTACCGGCATCTAGTGGCAAGGTTGTGCGGGCCTTACGAAAACAATCGCCCTGGATTAAATGTTGAGTGTAGCCCTTAGGTCCCGAGGTATTTATGGTCAATACCCAGGCCGAGAAAATAAGTGCTTAAATAACAACATTTTGAAATAGTGCTTAATTAATTAAATGATAAAATATTTGGTAACATAAGTTATTAAAGTAAAACCCACAAGAACTTTCTGGACACAAAAGTATAAATAATGTTGAGAATACCTTAAGATCATTCGTTTAAAAAGAGAATGTTTAATTTATCAAATTAACAGACACAGTGCACGTATGAAATTCATTATAATATAAAAAAACCTGATAGTAGGGTGTCTCCAATGACAGAAGGATCGTCTTCCTATCCAGATAAAGATCCATCTATGTAAAACCAGTTATTAGTAAGCCAGGTGGCTAGTAAACCAATGGACCACGATAATACGGACCACTGTTCTAGTAAACCGATGTACTTGTGTCTCCACGGTTGAGTCTACGTTGAAACCGTTAATCTCCGGAGTGAATACCTTCCGGGTGAACCCTTTTTCGTAAAGGGTTAAACTGGTAGCTTTCCAAGGGTGAAAAAAAAGCCACACAGCCCACAGCAACTACTATTGAAGAATCCACTTCAATATTACACACTCAAATGCCGATGGACCTCCAATAATTTTTATGTCTATAAATCCTTTAGCAGGTGTGGAATAGGCCAATAAACCATGGAAATTTAACTAAACACTGAAATTCTCTAAAAATACCATAAACCCGTTCTTCCACAATTAATACTGGAGTAAAATCTACAAACCACCTTTAATTAGGCATTCCAACGACCTGTCCAAATGGATACCAGTGCGGACTGACAGTTTAGATATAGCAACCCTGTTGTCATGTTGTCATTAACAGGGTAAATGATACAATTTGAATCGGTTTAGCAAAAATGTGTTTTAAAACCAATTTTCAGCCTTTGGATATTTAAACAAAATTGCTTACATTTTTACTCCAAGGCTTATGTTTATTTTGAAAAATATGGATGATCAATCTATGTAACTATCTATTTCATTGACCTTGTCAAATCATCAGGCCTACAGGGTTGCCATAATTTTGCCATATCATAACCTGTCAAAACCCACTGGTAGCCATTCAGTTTGGAATGCCTAATTATGAGCGATGGAATGGGTAGGAAGTGGGTTCATGTATTTAAAAATGGCCGTACAAATGTGCATGATGACGAACGAAGTGGGCGATCTTTAGTCATTACTGACGATTTGATGCAGAAAGTTGACCAAACAGTGAGAAAAAACAGACTCTTTATGATTATGTTGTTGCAAGTACACATATATCACTGTGAATATCGATCGCCTTTAATCCTTTTGCACTCATAAAACGAATAACGGAACGAATTTCACAATCAGCGGAACTCTCGATCGGCGGTGCCATTTTAAACATGCTAACACACGTAATCAAGGGCGATTGTTTCCGTAATGGCGTCTCAGCCTTGCCAATAGATGCAGGTACACAGCGCGCATGCACCGAATGCCAACCGCAGCGGTGCAACGGAGGAATATCAAAACGGTTCTTGTTTAAAAAATACGCCTCGTATATTTGTATTACAGTGAAGAAATTCAGTAACAACGCTAGTGATTTCTAAAAAGTTTGTGGGTTACTGGATTCGTAAGTTAGGTTCGTGGGTTAAGGAAAAGTTTGTGGATTTAAAAAAAATTTGTGGATTTAAAAAAAATTACGGGTTAAGAAAAAGTTTGTGTTCAAGAGAAAATTTGAGGGCTAGGAGGAAAATTAAACGTGTAGAAGTTTATGGGTGCAAAGGAAAATTTTGTGAGTAAAAGAAAAGATTTGTAGGAAGGGATAAATTTTAACGTTATGGGAAAAATATGAAATTTAGGAGAAAAGGGAAAATTTTGTTGGCAAGGAAAAATTTTGTGGACAAGGGAACAGTTTGTGGATAAGAGGAAATTTTGTGGGCAATGGAAACGTTTGTAAGGGGAAAAGTTTGTGGGAAACGGGAAAAGTTTGTGGGTAAGAGGAAAAGTTGTTGGTAATGGCAAAGTTTGTGGACTAGGACAATAAGGGGGAAATTAATGGATAATGAAAAATTATAGATTTGTTGAAATAGTTGTGTTAAGAAATAGACTGTAGATTAGGAGTTAAGAGTCTCCTTAAGGGTAAACTTTGTGGGTTGGAGAAACTTATGTAGATTATGGGAATATTTGTGGGTTAGGAAAAATTTGGAGGATATGGGGAAAATTTGTTGATCATGGAAAAGTTAGTAGATTTTAGAGTAGGGAAAAGTTGGCGGGCTATGGAAACGTTTGTAGACTAGAGGAAGCATTTGTGGGCCATGAGAAAGTTTGTGGGTAAGGTGAAATTTGAGGGTTACAAGAAAAGTTTGTAAGTAAATAGAAAGACTGTTAGTCATGGGAAAAGTTTATGGATTAGAGGAATAGTTTGTTGGTTAGGTGAAAGTTTGTGGGTAAGGAGAAAGTTTGTTACTTTGAAGGTTAAATTGAAAAGTTTATGGGTTAGAAAGACGTTTACAAGTAGGGGGGAAATATGTTGTTTATGGAAAATTTGTAAATTAAGTTAAAACTTTGTAGATAAAAGTTTGCGGGCTATGGAAAAGTTTGTGAGTAAGGAGAAAAAATTGTGGGTTAGAGGAAAGTTTGTGGGTAAGGGTAAATTTGAGGGTTAGGGAAAAAGTTTGTGGGTAAGGGACAATTTGAGCTTTAGGCAACAAGTTTGTAGATAAGTAAATTTGAGGGAAAGGACATAGTTTATGGAAAACAGAAAAAATGTCAATCATGTAAAATGTGTCTTATAGGTATGGGGATTCCCTGCCTTATAATTACAGCGCTGTGTATGCTGCATTATATACAGCATAGCGATTTTAAGATTAATATTCAATCTAAACGTTTTCATAAAGTATCACTAGGTTAAGCAATAATAATATCTGTATCTGTAACGTGTGGGGGATGGGTTACCCCCACGGCACTTAGGCCTCACTAGGCCCATTGTGCATCCTCCCAAGATGATAGGCACCTCCTAGCTCGTGAGTTAGCATACAGATTTAATGTAGTTGACAACGTCGCCAAGAGTTGCTTCTCTTATATCGGTCGGTGTTAGCCAATACTCGCCGAACACATAATAATATATTAGTGTACATACTCTTCCTGATGTTATACACACTAACTGTTTCGTAGTTAAATTAATGTTCTAATATCTAATTATGTTTCAATATTAATGTTGCATCTACTACTTTTGAAAAATGTGTTAATGTTACCTTATTCTATTTAGTGTTGGACTAGTCCGCCTAGAGGTAGTGTTAGTAACTAAAGAAGAATGCAGCTTCCTAAAGATATGATTTATGTTAGTATAATTTACGTGGTTATTAGAAATGAGGATCAAACTCCACAAACACAAGTTATAATAAATTTAATCAGTTAATTACTTACACGTATCCAGGTGACTTGTAGTTTTTGGGATATCCCATGTACAGTGACGTCCGTTTCGTTTTCTTTGGCAACATACCAATCAAATTGTTTCCATCTCTGGATGTTGACGATAATGATTCATTTGAACTACTCGTACTATTTGTTTCTGAAAAGTAAAATATTTGTAGAACTGATGAAGACATTTAATGGGAAATAAGGATACGGAAGGGAATAATATGAAAATTTAGATTACATATAATAATTAAGTTCATACCTAGTTTGGAACTGTAAGGCCTAAAATTCGGAGGGCTGTAGTTATGCAGAGTGGGTAAATTCGTCTCGGATTGCGATACGACTGTCGGTATCAACTGTTTGAAACGTTGCTGGTTGGGAGGTTGCCTGGGTGATATGTGCTCGCTCCTTGACATGTCGTATATACCTCCATTACTCGATTCGTGAACGCTGTACATGCTTGAAGTGATTCGAGGCTCGCCGTACGTTGATACAGTCTAAAAAGTAACAAATCCAGTTAAATATTTTTCTAATAGATATAATGGTAGTGAAACATGAAAATTTGAAATGCATAAACAATTATGCTTCACATCCTTGTTAGTGGAAATAAAGATAACCATGTAATATACCTATGTTACGCCGCTGACCCACATGTCCAGATTAAAAATTTTATGTTATTCTCTATCGCTGCCTGCCTAAATTACTCATTACCAATTTTTGTGTCGCGTGATTCACATTGTTCAGACTGACTACATTCCAGCGATTATAAAAACATGGGTAAAAACTATCGAAAACGCAAATCGTCTCAGAAATACGATAAATTGAAAAAGAAATAAAGAAATTTAGAGCACAGGTAGGAAAATAATGTTTTTCTTTTTAATTGATTTTTAGCTTGCAGAAGATACTGCTTTACTGTAAATTTCCGAATTTAGACGACATATAAATATACAGAAGATACATCATTCATATAAGCCGTATGCAAAGCGAAAAATGCTACTTTATGTGTAAATTTCGCAAAACTTGGTCAAGGAATATATTATGTTGTGTAAATTCTGCATATTATTGCAAAATAAATGTACAGAGAAGGCTACTTTTTGTATTAACTCTGATTTTATACTTAGCCCAGCTAACCGCAACGCGAATAATTTTACTTAATGTGTAAATTTCGCAAAACTTTGGCCACGAAAGATAATATTTCATACGAAAATTCTTATTAACAAATAAATGTACAAAGGAGGCTGCTTTATGTGTTAAATCTGATCTTATACTTATAAGATGCTAGCCCGGCTAATCGCAATGCAAAAAATGCTACTTAAAGTGTAAACTTCGAAAACATTTGGAAGCAGAATGTAGGTACTATGTAAATTCTGCATTATAGACAAATAAATGTACAAAAGAGTCTTCTTTATTTGGTAACTCTGGTCTTATGCTTATAAAATGCAAGGACGCAAAAATGCTACGCAAAGCTCATTGATTATATTACTGTATGGGTAAATCCTGTCCTTTTATTTGCACATGAATTAGCCATTGATTAAATATAGACTTAAGTTTATTCAGAATCAGAATCTAAGACTCTAACTCGTCATCTTCACTAGAACATAGACGTTTGAATAGCAAGGATCAAATTCAGTATCAGGTTATTCTGGGAGCGGATCCTAATAGCAACACCTCTCTCGGAAAACCAATCAACGAAGAAATGGTAAACCACGAACCAAAAAGTTTAGTGACTAGTCACGTCATCAAATAAAACCGACAGCTATTTATATATGCTGCAAGACCAACTTGAAAGGTGATGGGAAGTTTAGCTGAACCTCTGTAAGCTAGGCTTGGAAGGAACAGAAATAGATGCATCAAAACAAATGCAAATGTAACAGAAGTATTACCAGATATATACCGTAGAATATATGCATCGTGGGCACCTTATATATCCGTCTTTAAACACAAATGTGAAAAATATGATAGAAAAAACAGATATCGATGGTTTTTCATTTTGGAAAGAATCTTGTAGAGATATTGAAGTCAAAGCATTTGAAAAAACTGGCATACATTTAATTCGAAGGCACCAACTAAAAGCAAACAATAATTTCAATCAGTCTTTAAACTTCAGGCGCCTACTTTTAAATAGCGACTGAAGAAAACCAGGCCAGAGAAAGAGCAGGAAAAATACAAAACCCAAAGGACAAACCAACAAGTATTCAGAAAAACAGAGAGGGGAGAAAGAGTTATTAGGGAAAGAAATAAAGGTAAGAGAGATTGCTGGTAGACTGAATAAATTTGTAAAACATGTGGGCTAACTTAACTAATGATAAGAAGGTCCTAAGATATGTTAAAGGTTTTAAATTAATCTTTAAAACACAAAAGCGCTTTTACCAAAGGATGTTTTAGAGAAAAAACTAACCTACACATTTCCAATTAAAAAAAACGTGTACTAAAGAATGCAACAGGTGTTTGCTTGCTAAAGAAAATTAGTTTGGTTCTCATATTTTTTAAGACCCAAATGAAATGATTCATCTAAATTCATCTTTAACAAATATATAGATCCTCGCATTTCAAACTGGAAGATCTAAGGTCTTCCCAGAATATTTTGTTACAGGACAATTTTATGTCAAAAATTAAATTATGATGCCTTTTATCTCATCTCAATACATAAAAAATCAGGAAAGTACTTAAAAAAAAATACCTTAACGAATTTTAGTGTCTTACATTTGGTTTGACCATTTGCTCCATATGTTTTTGCAAACACTTTAAAACTGGTAGTGCATCAACTAAGTTTTTTTTGGAAATAACCTTAATGATTTCCTAATTAGATAAATACATCTAAATCTAGTGATGAATGTCTCAAACATTGTAATACAACGGTTAATTCTTTACAAGCTCTATGACTCATCATAAAAAAAGTGTTTTTATCTAAAGTGTGCGAGAACTCGATGTATTTCTTGCATAAGTACTAAAATTAGAAAGACCAAGCAGAAGGTATAGTGATTGTACCAAAATGGGAAACTCAACCATCCCATGTTACAAAAAAAATGCTTTTTATGGTACATGTCAACATTAAAGCTAGTTATTCACTGCAGCAAACCTTCATTTAGAACTCCTTATAACCAGAGTTCTGCCCTAGCTCTCATTATAAATAGTCCCTAACTTTCATTATAGAAATTCTGAATAATAAAAGAAAATGTATATTAGGAAGTTTCTAAAAGGGTCATCCTGTTTTGCCAAAATGTATTCAAACTTGAGACCAAAACAGAGTTTTAAAATACTTCAGAGGTTTCTTTCACTTGAAAAACTTAAAACAGCTAAGAGCCAAACTTGTTATGCTTGCAGCTCAACGGGTATAGACTTTCTCAAAAATTAAAGTTGAAAATGTCAAGGTGGAAGCTGACAATATACAAATTTTCATTGACGAAATGCTAAAACTTCGACTCCACAACGAGCTCAACCTTTATTAGTATTTTCATTCTCCCACGAAGTACCTCAATTTATGCTCGGCAAAAACAATTTTTATTTTATGGGGAAAAAGAAAAAATAAAGTCTCACAGGTCTTTAGGACCTTTTATTCTAACCACTAACGCTCCAGTCCTTCCAGTATCTCCCCCAAACTATTGGGTGGGTAGCTCAAGCACTTAGTACACATACGTATGTACCTCGACCGTCCTCATAATCTGCGTCGATATCGAAACCATTAGAAAAACTGTAGAACAAAGATCAGTAGTGTTTAACAAGTTTTACAATTTAGACGTAAAACCAACGTTCGCAAAAGTATTAAAAAATTATAAAACTGGATTGTTAAAATTCAATATTATTTTTTGTTACGTTGTTTAATGATTAATTCATTAGTATTATTATTGTTAATTTTGTGGGAAATTTATAGTAATATTTTTTGCATATTCTATTGTATACATTTACGTAGAAAGCATAATCTACGTGATTATCTTTATTTCCACTAACAAGGATGTGAAGCATAATGGATCAAACGACTTACCTGAAGGAAGTTCGATCCTAATTATGCGAGCATCTTTGTTAGTGGAAATAAAGTATTACTTTATATTATTTTTATTTTTAACTCCAAACTCCTAGGCTCCACAACAGATAATGAGTAATTTAGGCAGGCAGCGATAGAGAATAACATAAAATTTTAAATCTGAACATGTGGGTCAGCGGCGTAACATAGGTATACTACATGGTTATCTTTATTTCCACTAACAAGGATGCTCGCATAATTAGGATCAAACTTCCTTCAGGTAAGTCATTTGATCCATTAAATAATGACGAGTTCCATGGTTTTTGGAATTTTATATTTTAAGGGGGGGCACGTGGTTAAAAGTTTGTATGGAAGTATCGATTTTTAAAGGTAGGAACTTGAAAATTGGAATTACAGCTACTCATCACAAACAAATAAAGGTGCGTTTTAGGGATTTTGGATGTTTATATTTTAAGGGGAAAAGGGGGGAAAAGGGAGGAAATGGGGGAAAGGAAAAAAGAATAAAAAGGAGAGAAAGGATAGAAAGGGAAAAAAGGGGAGAAAGGGAAGAAATGGGAGAAATGGGGAAAGGTTGATCACTTAATTTAAAGGTAGGAATTAGAATTGTAGCTACTTATCATAAATAAATAGACATTAAGGGGGAAACGAGAGGTGAAAGTTTGTATAAGAGTTTCGTTTTCTTAAAGGTTGAAACTTGAAAATTGGGATGTAGCTACTCATTAGTAATTAATGACGCATTTCAAGGTTTTTGGAATTTCACATTCTAAGGGGAAATGGAGAGTATAGTAAAACTAAATAAATAAAAATAAATAAAAATTATAAAAAAAAATGTCAAAATAATTTTTAAAATATTGAAAAAAAAATTATAAAAAATAAAAAATACTAGAGATTAAAAAAATGATCATGAAAACTTTATTTCGTAATTTTTTTTATTTATTTTATATTTTTGAAATTTTTGTGCTTCATACAATTAGTTTCTAATTTTTTAGTTTTCATTTTTTACATTTTTTGAAGATCAAATAAAAAGTTTATTTTGTGCAAGTTTTTGTGAACATTGTAACGGTTGGAACCGTTATTCGTTATTTTGACACATTCACCTCTACTCAAATGTCATTTGTCGTTTTCTTCTTTCTTGATTCATACTGTGAAAATCATTTTTGACTTCAATGTCAACGAATCAACTAGATTTCATTTTAAATATCTTGGCCATCCGATGTACTAATTGATTTTTAATATTCTTATATTCTTATTTTCCGTCTGATTTTATAAGGTAAGCTTTAATACTGATATATTGTTGAAAATATATATATATTTTGTACAAGAATTTCTTAATTGAAGTGTCAAATTTTGAACATAACCTCAACAATGGATAACACGTTTTATATAATTTTATATATTATTTTTTTTTTTTTTTTTTTTTAATAAGATATTATGCTTTACTATGTTTAAATATGTTAAATAAGATTTTTCCTTTTCATATTAACTTTAGTCTCTGTGAAATTATTCACTTAATGGTTTTAAATTGTTCATTTATTAGTTAAAAGCATTTTATCTTAATCCTGTTCCAATTTCCTATTTCCTGTCTTAACATTTTTAACCTTTTCTTTTTAGCATTGGCTATATCTAGACGGTTTATGTGAATTTATATCTAGAAGTTTTATGGTTTTTATACCTAAGAGTTTGGTGCAATCTGAAGACCGTGGTTTGGTTCAACTATAGAAGATCGACACGTTTCGAGTTAAATTAGAATACCAAATTTCTCAATATCGTTCAAGTCCAGAATTAAGAATAAGGATCCCGAATCCCTTTAAAGAAGTCCTGAAGCATACCATACAAATCACATACCTTATATTACTACCTCCTGTACAAAAGATAAGTGTGCTTTTGAATAAATCAACTTAAATTTGAATTAAGTAAAACTATGTAAATTAGAATTTGTTACTACCTTATCTAAAACTTTGTTTGAATATAATTTGTTAGTGGTTAGTGATTTTCTATATTTTTATCACTAATCTAAACTCAAGTATAGTAAGTTTTAAATATAGTGGTGCCCAACTTCTTTTTCAAGGTAATTCGAGTTATTTAATAACCTGACCCACGCCCAAAATCAATAGAGCTTAAACACACTATAACAAATAGATAAAATATCAAGTATCATGTTACAACACATTAAAAAAAAAAAAAAAATGCACAAATTACGTTTTTCATTGCTAAAAATATAAAGGAATTAAAAAATTTTTAAGAAAGTAAAAAATTTAAGAAATTAAAAAAATGTTATTTATTTTTGTAACCATGAAAAACTTATTTTTTCATTTTTAATGAAAATTTTTTTTACCTTTCATTTTGGCAAGTTTAAACAAAGTAAATAAAAAAATGTTTACTGCTGAAAAAGTATAAAAGAATAAATATAATTTTTTTTAACCAAAAAAAAACTTTATTTCCTGTTTTTTTATAATTTTTGAATTTTTTATTTTATTTAAAAAATGTAAAAATACTTACACAAGTGTACGGCTGCGCGATATCCCTGTAATTGGTCGCCATTTTCGGTTCGACATTGACGTACGACCTACTCAGAGCCTCCTCGGAGTTCATGTAAGTAGGTAGATGATTATTGGGCGATCCGAACACGCTTTGGCTGTTATTGGTCGGCGTCGACATGTAGAGTTTTGGCGACGGCGCGTCAGGCTCGGTAAAAAACAATCTTTGGTAGTTTTCGATTAGAATTTCCACGACGATGTTGTAGAATTTGAGATCGAGTATCGACGCCACTGTCTCTTCTTCCGGTCGCAGCAGCGTCGGTCCGAAGCAAACGCCTAAATTGCTTACGGTCATTAGATTTTTGTCACACTTTGCGACGACGCTAAAAAGGAAGAAGAAAACAACTACTACTCTGACTATGCTCCTTGACAGGTATTAAATTATAACTTAACGGACAGTAACAGGATAAGAGAGAAATAAATAAATTCTTACTTGGTCAGATGCCTCATCAATATCTTTAAAACTTCTAGATTGCTTTTTGGTAGTCTATACAGTAAAGTGTGAACGTCTTTTATCCTGGTCTGCTTGGATTCGTTTTCTGTAAAAAAAAAATAATTCGAATTAAATGATTGGTAGAATTTTAGAAATAAAAATAACGTAACTTTAATTGATTGTTCAATTATTAGTATTTTTTGTAATATCAAAACCGGGATAAAAATGTAAAACAGTCGAAAATTGCTTATCTCGAAGACTTCTTACACTAATTATCAAATCAGGTACCTGAAGAATCGAATAAAATTATTTAAAATTAAATAAATTTACAGATATACTTACTAACTGCCGCTATAAACCCGTTGTGGAAACGAAAGGTCATCAATGGTTCCGGTAGATTCCTCAAATACATTTTTAAAGCACTAGTTATAGTCTTTGTTTCCCATTCAACAGGATCGTCCATCGAAAATTTATCAGTTTTTCTTCTGTCTAATCCCATATTCAATAATTTTGTTACTTTCGAACTAACACCTACCACTCTGTTGAAAAAAAAAATATATTAATTTGTTAATTTCTTGTAAATATATCTGAAAGTACAAAGTGTAATCCTGCTTTTAGTCTCAAAAACGAGAAAAACAGTCAAACAAAAAAATAAATAATTATTAAAAAAAATTAAACACAAAGATTACTTATAAAAAATAAAAAACAAAAATAAACAAAAATAAAAAACAAAAATGTAGGTGAAATGAACTCCGATTCCTAAAGCCAATCTCAAAACCACATATTTAGTTAAAAAAAATACAAAAAATTTAGAAAAAAAAAAGATGTTAAAAGATAGAAAAATAATATAAAATAAATTTACATAATAGTATGTTATGACAAAAGATCAAAAAATATTAAAATATAAATTAAAAGGCAATAAAAATAAAAACGAAAATAAGACGAAATGGGCTCTAATTCCCAAGGCAAAACTCAAAACACTCACATATATCATTATTTAGTTCAATTGAAAATTAAAAAAGGTTCTAGAAAATAAAAAAAAAATGGATTAAAAAAAATATACAGGGTAGCTGTTAAAGATGGAACCAAACCTATACTGATTAAACAGTTTAACATACAAAACCCAAAATTTCAGAATTTCAACTATATATGTTTGCGCATATTTTAGCCCAAAAATTATTTTTTTTATAATTTTAAAATTTCAACCATGGCCGCCATTTGGTTTTTTTAAATGGCAACTAGGACATGTGATATACCATTTGAAAGGGTTTAACACTCTGATTACAAAAATGTATCACACATGGGGTCTAAACACAACAGAAAGGATATTATTAATAGGGAGCATAGGGAGCGTAGGAGGCTGTGCACTTGACACAAGACGTCAAATATTATTACAAAAACGTTTATAAATATCCTTTCTGTTGTGTTTAGACCCCATGTGTGATACATTTTTGTAATCAGGGTGTTAAACCCTTTCAAGTGGTATATCACAAGACCTATGTTGCTATTTAAAAAAATTAAGATGGCGGATATGCTTAAAATTTTGTAATTTTTGGGCTAAAATATGCGCAAATATATTTAGATGAAATTCTAAAATTTTGGGTTTTGTATGTTGAACCGTTTAAGCACTATAGGTTTGGTTCCATCTTTAACTGCTACCCTGTATAAATAAAGACATAACAAAGGAGCAAAAACGAACACGAAAAAAGAAATAAATAAAAAGAGTTATCGAACGCAGACGAATTCGCTTTGTTTATTTTTAATGATTATTAATGATTTTTAATGATTTTTAACGATTTTTAATGAGTTTTAATGATTTTTAATGATTTTTAATGATTTTTAATGATTTTTAATGATTTTTAATGATTTTTAATGATTTTTAATGATTTTTAATGATTTTTAATGATTTTTAATGATTTTTAATGATTTTTAATGATTTTTAATGATTTTTAATGATTTTTAATGATTTTTAATGATTTTTAATGATTTTTAATGATTTTTAATGATTTTTAATGATTTTTAATGATTTTTAATGATTTTTAATGATTTTTAATGATTTTTAATGATTTTTAATGATTTTTAATGATTTTTAATGATTTTTAATGATTTTTAATGATTTTTAATGATTTTTAATGATTTTTAATGATTTTTAATGATTTTTAATGATTTTTAACGATTTTTAATGTTTTTTTAATGATTTTGAATGATTTTTAATGATCTTTAATGATTTTTAATGATTTTTAATGATTTTTATTGATTTTTAATAATTTTTAATGATTTTTAATGATTTTTAATGATTTTTAATTATTTTTAATGATTTTTAATGATTTTTAAGCTTTTTAATTTTTTTTATTGTTTTTAATTATTTTTAATGATTTTTATTTATTTTTAATTATTTTTATTTATTTTTAATTGTTTTTAATTGTTTTAAATGTTGTTAATTATTTTTTGACTTATATTTAATTGTATTTATTTATTTATTTTTAATTTTTAAATGCTTTTGTTTTTAATTGCTTTTAATTATTTTTAACTACTTTTAATTGCTTCTAATTATTTTTACCTACTTTTAATTATTTTTAATTAATAAAAAATGGATTCAGAAAAAATATATAAAGGCATAACAAAGGAGCAAAAACGAACATGAAAAAAGAAATAAATTAAAAGGGTTATCGAACGCAGATGAATTAGCTTTGTTTATTTTTAATGATTTTTATTTGTTTTTAATTGTTTTTAATTTTTTTTTGTTGTTGTTTTTAATTGTTTTTAATTGTTTTTAATTGTTTTTAATTGTTTTTAATTGTTTTTAATTGTTTTTAATTGTTTTTAATTGTTTTTAATTGTTTTTAATTGTTTTTAATGGTTTTTAATTGTTTTTAATTGTTTTTAATTGTTTTCAATTGTTTTTAATTGTTTTTAATTGTTTTTAATTGTTTTTAATTGTTTTTAATTGTTTTTAATTGTTTTTAATTGTTTTTAATTGTTTTTAATTGTTTTTAATTGTTTTTAATTGTTTTTAATTGTTTTTAATTGTTTTTAATTGTTTTTAATTGTTTTTAATTGTTTTTAATTGTTTTTAATTGTTTTTAATTGTTTTTAATTGTTTTTAATTGTTTTTAATTGTTTTTAATTGTTTTTAATTGTTTTTAATTGTTTTTAATTGTTTTTAATTGTTTTTAATTGTTTTTAATTGTTTTTAATTGTTTTTAATTGTTTTTAATTGTTTTTAATTGTTTTTAATTGTTTTTAATTGTTTTTATCTGTTTTTAATTATATTTAATTGTATTTATTTATTTTAAATTGCTTTTAATTGTTTTTAATTGCTTTTAATTATTTTTAATTGCTTTTAATTATGTTTAATTACTTTTAATTATTTTTAATTATTTTTAATTATTTTTAATTATTTTTAATTATTTTTAATTATTTTTAATTATTTTTAATTATTTTTAATTATTTTTAATTATTTTTAATTATTTTTAATTATTTTTAATTATTTTTAATTATTTTTAATTATTTTTAATTATTTTTAATTATTTTTAATTATTTTTAATTATTTTTAATTATTTTTAATTATTTTTAATTATTTTTAATTATTTTTAATTATTTTTAATTATTTTTAATTATTTTTAATTAAATTATTTTTAATTGTTTTTAATTATTTATAATTATTTTTAATTATTTTTAAATTTTTTATTATTTTTTTTTATTTTTTTTATTTATTTGTTTTTTATTTATTTTTTTATTTATTTTTATTTTTTTTATTTATTTTTATAGGCCGTCAATAGGCCCTCATATTTTTCATGCCAGGGCGTGCCGTAAGAAGTTCCACATCAACAATTGAAAAAATAAAAAAAGAAAATATGGCGAAATGGTTTTTGATTTATAAAGCCAAATTCAAAACCGCATACACACACATACTCGTATTGTTTAGTTCAATAAATACCTGTATAGGCCCTGCTCCTCCAAACCTCGATTTTCCAAAACTTCTATACACTTTTTTACAAATTGAATGCCGTGGTCATCGAGAATACGTTCTTCCATGTTGTTAGTTTTATTTACATTACTTGGGGTCGTATACGTCTAAAAAAAAAAAAACGGAATAATTACTAAGAAACACACGAACATTATTTTTGAAATAATACTTTTAAAGTTTGTGGAATAACGGAGCCTACAAAATAAATAATTTTTAAAACATAATTCGCATTGACGACCATTTTACGTAACTATGTATTTGAAACCTGGTTTTTGTTTTTCTCGAATCAAAAACACATTTAGATTGGTATGTTCATAATCATATTGAAAATTTTTATCAAGCTTCTAATTTTTTTGTACTAAATATCGTTTCAGATAAGATTTTTTAAATTCTGTGAAACATTTCAGCAATTTGATGTGAAATTAAATTAGCATGAGACCCGCAAGTCGATTAATTTCAGTGACATTTTAATAAACACCACAAGAAAACTGAGTTGGAAAGCAAGATTTCGATCATTTGTACTTTCGATCATATGCGATTTCGTTCATTTGTTCTAATTTCGACCTTTTTTGGTTTTGATCTTTTATCACTTTCGATCACTTTTCCGCTCATCTAATTCTCAACATGTTGACTTCACTTCCATAGGCGACGAATCCCCGGGGCTCTGGGTGCGCAAACACCCAGAGCAGTTTTAAACTGGGTGCGGAGCACCCATAGCACAACGTAGATAAAAAGTGCCAATAAGTGAAATATAGAAGCTGTCGTGGCCCAAGTTCGTAGAGCGACAGGATGCCTCAATGCGGCATATGTTTTTCATTGGCTGTCAGATTTGTGTGCAACGTCTCAGCACGTTGCAATAAGCCTAATGCAAAATATTAAAGCTTTCTTCTTAAGACCCTACTCAATTAATTTTTTTTTAGGTTAGAAGACAATTTTTCATTCGAAGCATAGGCGCCAAAAAGTGCTTTGGGTGCCCGGTCTCTATAAGGGAAATGGGAGCGCTTCCCTCTCTCCACACAACATTTACACCCGTATACATAGTCGATCGCCAGCGATTCGCCAAAGATTCATTCCGGCGAACTCAATGGAGATGAACCAGATATGTTCACGGTTGAAGGAACTATGAAGACCCTTAGAGGTACATTTGAATCCTTGAATTAAATAAATAAGAAAATTATCGATTTTGTTTTGGACGATGATACTCTTGATGCCGATGTTGATAGAATGAAGTCTGAGATCGATGATGTTATTAAGCATTTTCACACATTGCAAATGAAAGTCGATTTTCAACTTCACAAAGATACAGCTGAGATTCACTCCATTAGCAGTCTTTCTTCTACTAGTAAAAGACGCCTCAAGCTACCAAAAATAGAATTTAAGAAATTCAGCGGAGACCTGAAAGAGTGGTTGTCTTTTTGGAACCAGTTCCGAAGAATCCATGAAGATGACCAAATAGAGAAGGACGACAAATTTCAATACCTTATTCAGGCCACCACTCCCAAATCTAGAGCCAGACAACTCATTGAAAGCTATCCTGCTACTTCTAAAAATTATGACAAGGTGATAGAGAGCTTGAAATCTAGATTTGGCAGAGAAGATTTACTGGTAGAAATGTATGTCAGAGAATTACTAAAATTAGTTTTAAGCAGTTTAAATAATAAAACTAAACTGTTATGTATGATAAGATGGAGACTCAATTACAAGCATTAGAAACATTAAATGTTACTACTGATACATGTGCAGCTATTCTCTACCCACTAGTTGAGTTCTGTCTTCCAGAAGATCTTCTACGTGTGTGGCAGAGAAGTGAATCATTTTCTTCAGAGAATACTTTTCAAACAAAGTTGGAAAATATCATGAAATTTTTAAAACGCGAGGTGGAGAATGAAGAAAGGTTTTTATTGGCAACATCAAGTTTTGATCTTAATAAGAATAAAAAAGTTGAAGGTTGTAAAGAAAATACAATCTCTACTGCTTCTGGCCTATTGAATCAAAACAAACACCGCTGTATATTTTGTAAAAAAGAACATGCCAATGACCAATGTGACGAAGCAGTCCGAATAGCATTTTCAGAAAGAAAGAAAATATCTTCTTCAAAAGGTTGTTGCCACGTTTGTTTAAAATTTGGCCATATTGCAAGAAAATGCAGATCCGCGGCCAAATTAGAGTGCAGTAAATGTAAGGGAAAACATGTAACTTTAATGTGTCCTGACGAGAATAAGAATGTTCCTCAAAATTCCATAGTTGAAAACTTTTCAAATCAAACATACAATCAAGTATTTTTACAAACAATAGCTGTTAGATTAAATGGGAACAATATTTCACGAAAGGTGCGAACACTCATTGATACAGGCTCACAAAGATCTTACATATTGAAACAAACGGCTTTAGATATTGGTTAGAAAGTTTTGAAAACAGAAGAGCTGATACATGAATTATTTGGAGGTTTTCAATCTAATCCTGTTACCCATAACTGTTTTAAAGCCATGTTACAGAATCTGCACAATAATTATACCTGTACTTTTTCGATGTCCTTGATCAAGAAGTCATTTGTGGCAACGTTTCATTTATTCGTAATGGTCCATGGATGAGTGAATTAACAAACCTAGATATAGATGTATCTGATACTTGCGACTGTCCTATAGAAATTCTTATAGGCGCTGACGTTACGGGAAAGTTACTTACTGGCAGACGACACATTTTAGCAAGTGGTCTAATTGCTTTAGAAACCAAGTTAGGTTGGACATTAATGGGTAAAACTCCGACCAATGAAAACTATTGTCCTTCTTTAATCATTACGTCCCTTCACTGTAAAGACACAACCGTCTCTGACCTATGGGAATTAGATATATTAGGCATAACTGATCCAGCCATCGAGAAAAGTAGAAAAGAAATAGAAGAGGCCGTATTACAACATTTCTTGGAAAATATCACTAGACTTAATGACGGTCGATACGAAGTAAGTTTGCCGTGGTTATCAGATCATCCACTACTACCTAGTAATTTTTGTTTGACGAAGAAACGAGTAGAAAATTTAAAGAAGAGGTTACAGAGAGAAGGATACTACCAAGATTACTGCCAGGTGTTTAAAGAATGGTTAGATGAGAAGATTATAGAGGAGGTTCCTATAGATGAATATAATATAGAAGCTCACTATTTGCCACACAGGCATGTAGTAAAATTAAGCAGTGCAACAACTAAAATTAGGCCCGTCTTCGATGCTTCGGCAAAAATTTCCAAATCTTCACCTTCATTAAATGATTGTTTAGAAAGAGGCATCAACCTTATTGAGCTTATTCCTTCTATGCTTATTCGTTTTAGATTAAAGAGAATAGGAGTTGTGGCTGATATTAGAAAGGCTTTTCTTCAAATAAGCCTTAACATTTTCGATAGAAACTATCTACGTTTTTTATGGTACAATGATCTAGATGAACTTGTATTTTATCGGCATGCGAGGGTTATGTTTGGCGCAACTTGCAGTCCCTTTTTACTTGGTGCAGTCATTGAGTTTCAGTTAAAAAATGCACTTGAAGGACCAACATATTCTTTTTCGATTTTAAATCAGTTAATTAATAGTTTTTATGTTGACAATTGCATCACCAGTCTCGATGATGTAGATAGTCTTCAAAATTTTATTAGAGAGTCCACTGAAGTTTGAAGCCCAGACGCAGAAAGATATTGTACATTTATCTCCAGTTTTAGGATTGAATTGGAACAAACAAATAGATACCTTGCAACTTAATCTAAATAGAGTGGAAATCAAAAATTCTGACAAAATTACTAAGAAAACTATGTTATCAGTTGCAAGTAGAATTTTTGATCCCATTGGTTTTGCATGTCCATTTCTAGTTTTTCCAAAAATATTGTTGCAGAAAATTTGTCTTCAAAATTTAAATTTAATTCTGAAGTTCCAGATGACATTTCCCAAGAGTTTCAAAAGTGGTTGGAAGATGTTCGAGCTTTGAATGAACTAAAAATTCCAAGATGGTTAGTACAAGAAATTACTATAGATATAGATGAAACTAGTCTTCATCTCTTTTGTGATGCTAGCCAAAAAGCCTATGCTGCAGCCATTTTTATAAAAACATTATTAGCTGGAAATATACATTTGAACCTTGTACAAGCTAAAAGCCGAGTTTCCCCGACTAAGAAAATATCAATTTGTCGTTTGGAATTAATGGCAGCGACAATCGGAACTAGATTGTTAAATGTAGTCATGAAAGAATTAAGACATTAAAAATATTTCATTATATTGTTGGACTGATTCAACCACTGTCTTATCATGGATAAAACGTAATGAAAATTGGAGATCATTTGTAAGAAATAGGATTCAAGAGATTCGATCATTAACCGACAAAGAACGTTGGTATTATGTCCCTGGAGAGCTAAATCCCGCCGATCTTCCTTCCAGAGGATGTTCAGCGACTAAATTAGTGCAGTCTAAATGGTGGGAGGGACCGATATGGTTACAGAAACCTATTACCGATTGACCAATTTAAAATTTTCCAGTGAATGAAGAAGTCATATCCAGTGAAAAAGTAACAAGTATTGTTGGTTTGTTCAAGACAATAATTAGAATGGTAGGCTGGATATATAGATTTATTTTTAATTGCAAAAATCCTAAAAATAAAATCAACGGTAAACTTTCAGTTGAAGAAACCGAATATGCTGAAAAGTCTGTAATTAGATTAGTGCAACAGGAAGCATTCGATGGCACGAATGACAAACAATTCGGTACCTTGGTTTTATATAAAGATGAGGAACAAATTTTGAGATTACGCACCAAAATTTCAGAAAGTGAAGATTTTGAAAGTTTTCGTTTTCCAGTACTTTTACCAGCGAAACACTGTGTCGTACGTAGACTCATACTTGATATTGACCTTTGTCATGCAGGAGTCCAAACCCTTTTGAGTGTTTTACGTGAAAATTATTGTATTATTGGAGGTAGAAAAACTATTAGAAGCGTAATTTCGAAGTGCAAAAGAACCAGAGGGAAAAATGTGGAAAGCTGCCCAGTTGCATTACCTAGAGACCGAGTTAAAGATGCAGCAGTCTTTGAAGTAACTGGAGTAGATATGGCGGGACCTCTTCTCTTGAGAGACAAAACAAAGGGGTTGGATTTGCCTGTTCACCTGTGCTGTATACCGAGCAGTTCACTTAGAACTTGTTACATCGCTGTCTACAGATAGTTTTATTCATGCCCTAAGAGGATTTATTTCTAGACGAGGCCGTCCTTCAATCCTGTACTGTGATAATGGTACAAATTTCGTCGGTGCAGATAATTTATTTGGCATGATTGATTGGGATCAAATTCAAAGTTTCAGTTCTGTGGAGAGGATTAAGATCAAGCTAAATCCACCCACAGCACCTTGGTGGGAAAGATTAATAGCGATGTTGAAGGATTTACTTAAGAAGGTATTGGGAAAAGCTTCATTGAGATACGAAGAACTCTTCACTTTATTATGTGATTGTGAAGCAGTCATTAATTCCAGACCAATTACTTATATCTCGGAAAATAATTCAGATTTGATCAGTCTTACTCCAGCTATGTTTTTACAAGACATAAAAGAAATCGGCGTGCCGGATGTAGATGCTGCGGAAGCAATAGATTTAAAAAGATGATATAGATACCGACTTAAATTGCGAAAAATTCTAAGAAGTCGTTTCAGAAAAGAATATCTAGGATGTCTGAATTTACAGAAAAGAAAATTTAATATACAGAAAATCAAAGAAGGAGATATAGTATTTATCGGGAGCGACAATAGCAAGCGCATTGATTGGCCACTAGGAAATATTATTGAATTGATTTCTGGAAAAGATGGTCAAATTAGACTAGTAAGATTAAAAACAGAAAAGGGTTTTTTATTACGGCCACTATAACGAATTTTTCCTCTTGAAGTTTATGATGGTGAAGAAAAGGATTTTTTTAAACCCGAGCTTGCTAAAGATCTTTGTCAAAATCAAGAAATTGGAGGAAGTCAGTCACAAGATTTTATCAGTAACGGCGAAATTAAACTTCAAAAAGAAAAATCCGTCATTACACGAAGTGGAAGACAAGTTAAACGGCCTGACAGGTTAGGTTATTAAGTCATATGATGCGATGTTATCCATGACTTAAGGTGGGAGCATGTTGGGAATTGAGTATTACTGACTCAAGTTACTGGTACTCCGTATTGTTGATGTAATTTATTTTCGTTTTATGTTACCTTGGTTTAAAGAGAGTTATGACTTATATAATTGAATTGACATTAATAATTTTGTGAATTGTCTATATATTTTTATATTGAATAAATAAGTTCTCCTCAAGTCTGTCCCCTTATTTTTTGACGTTATCTGTCCACCTGGTAGGTGTACAAGCGCAACAATGCTTCTGCGAGTATCTGATGTCATTGAAGAGGATACAAATTCATTCGTAGCTCATACACATCCTCATACATCAAATTTGCTAGAAATTGTAGCAGTTATCAAAAAGAGTCCACGTTAGAAACGAATTTCGAAACGTATTTTGCGGGTTACCTAATGAAAACATGCCTATCTATACATTCTTGTACAATTTGCGAGGAATATTCAAAATCCTATCAAAATTTAGACGATATATCTTTATTTTGTTACTATAAAGCTTCTAACAGCTCCAATTTAGATTTATTTGGTAACTTAAACATGCCACACAATGATTTTGCAAAATTTATCTCCTTTTTAGAGGTAATATTTCAAATAAATTTTGAAACTATTATTATACACAGAAATGTAATAGATACGTTTCAAAGTATTTGTAGAAATACAAGTTTTTTACAACCATGTGAAAAATTTCCACATAATTATTTAATAAAATTATTCGGTAGAGTAAGAGATTATTTTATACTCTTAAATGTATTAACCAAAATTTTAAACTATAAAAGACAAAAAGGTTATCATTTGGAAAGATAAGTAAATATTTTTTTATATATATAAATCTTTTACTTACCTATATTTGTAATGTATGAACTTAAAAAATAAATCAATAGCTACCCAATATTTTTTTTTTTATTTTCCTGACCTTTTTCGGCGCGCCTATGAAATACAAGTAATAACTAAAAGACGAGGCCATATCTCGTCGGCATCAATTACAAAGGAATTAAATGAGAGATATCCTTCTGGTTATTATTTATTCTCGTGCTGTTGTTTTAATGAAATAAATTTACAAAAACAAAACATGATTTAAATTATGGGAGCTTTAGTTTCTACAATCGGATGATCCAGAATTGTCAAAAACATTGGTTATCTCAATATTAATTTCTTCTAAATTCATTGATTCTTAAAATTGGATATGTGGGAATTCAGGATCTTGGTATTCGTTATCGGATAAAGTGTCGTCATTCGGGCAAGTTTTTAACAGTGGTTTGGGAACAACACTTATCCATTCAAGTTGTACACTGGGTGCTTTTATAACGACTAATTTGATTTTTCGGTTTCATAAAAATATTTCATTCAAATCCACTCAGGTTTTTTTTTTGTTTTTTCACGAATTAGTGAATTACACTTGTCCAGTTCAATTGGTAGTTATAACATAGCGACGTTTTCTTGAAAAATAAACTATATTTTAAAATTGCAATCAACCGACGCAAAACAAACCCTTAGGTATTATCTAAATGGCTTATTTACACACTGTATTCTTATTCTTGGCTCGATTTACAATATTGATTATTTTTTCTTGTATGTACTAGTTTATAATGTGTCGGCCAATTATTTAATATGGGGTAAATACAAAATATTCTCTGTAAACTCGATAAAAAACGAAAACAAGAAATTATTCAAATATTTTGCTTGAATATTTTTTGTTCCGCTAGACACTTTTCCATTACTTTCGCAATGCAAAATCGGTCATAGACAATTTACAATCTTTGCATTAATCTTGGAGCGCTGCAAATTTGCATTTATTAATAGGAAGGTATTTAAATCGTTCTGTAAAATTTGTAATACTTTTTAAAAAAATTTTGGCAACTGCAAAATGTGCGAATTGTTGATTTTTGTTAATTTTTTAAGGTTCCGGACCTTGTCCAAGGTAGCACATTTGCCAGATTGTTAAGAAAAATAATACTAACATTTGCAACTAATTTTCAAAACTTTCGCATTTTTTTTTTTGACAAATTTTTTTGTAATTAATGTGAAATGTTCCAAATAGGATGACTGGCATAAGATGTACGCGAAGAATAATCCAAATAGAACTTACAGGCTCTCTTCCATCCATGATGTCCATCCAGGCTTTCCTGTCTTGATCTGACAACGCTTGAAATGTAAATATTACCCCAGGTTTTTCGTCGGATTGTATGTCGAAACAAAATCGTTTCTCTATGGAATCAGACATTCGGCGCACACAGGAAGATATGACCATTTTCTCGGGAGGAGGAAGCTTAAATTGTACAAAAATTATATGTTAATATAAATAATTCATATTAACCTAACCTAACCTAATCTATTAGTGATTTCTTACTTACAGTTTTTGTTGTCAACTGATTATAAGGAAGCATAGTAAATACTTTAGTTTCTTTGTCATAGCCGCAGTAGTGTTTAGTCCAAGTAGTACCAAAAGCCTCTGAAATTGTAAAACATACATATAATAAAGAATTAAAATAAGAAAATTAAAAAACAGTACTTAAAGACTATGTGTGGTTAGGTTCTTACTTTTTTCTAACAAAAACAGATACCCTTCCCTGCATCCTTTGGCATTCCTTATAGGTTCATCTTGTTTTTGAACTTCTGACATACGTTTTCTTAGTATCTGACTAAAATCATCAAAGTTAGTTCTCGTTTTTTGAATCTTTGTTTGCAGATCCTTCCAGTACGGATCGCAATCCTTCTTCAATTCATAACCCTAAAAAATACAACTTTCAAGTTAATAAACTTAAAAAAGAAATACAATAAATGAAAAGAAAGAAATTATCTTACCTGGTGATAAAATGTAAACCAGGAATAAATGAAAGTCAAAAGCGTCTCTACAAATTCGAATTTTTTTCGTTCGTGGACTTCTTGTATTAGATACACATAATCCATACTTGCTGTATAGAAATGACGTTCAGCCATATCCACGGAAGCATCGGCCTAGAACCAAAAAAAGATATGTAATAATCAAACTATATATTTAAATAAATAAAATATTTCAAATTTAAAAGCCACTCTCTCTACCGAAAAATTTTAGCAACAAAAAAATTGTTACGGATTTCTAGTTATGAATCTACAATCTACATACTACTCAAACATAGCCATTTCTATTAATTAGTACAAAATACGGTGGATGGGTTATTGAGGTCTATTTTGTAAAGATTCCTTTATAGTTTAAAAGTCGTTATAATATTGTTACGCAGCACCCTGCGGCTATTATAGGAAATATACAGATAGAAAAAGAAGTGGAATGTTACTCATCGCCCTACAGTGTGATGCGGTCGTCATAAGTAAAAGTACAAGTAAAAGAAGATAGAATACTCCAGAAATGTTCGGAAATGTCATTACCCGTCAAGAATATTCTAGACGACAGTTTGAGAAGGTTCGAGAAGGGTAAAGTGAGCTGTATAAGGATGATCCTGACGTCAGTTTTGAGTTTTATGATAGACGTTACACGTTAATGTTATCAGTTGAAATAAATTGTGATACCAAAAACTTGCGTAACAATATTTTCTTATTTACTAACTTACTTCGGTCCATATTCATACGAATTCCTTTTAAAATGTTCCCCTAACAGCCAGTTTCACAATTGGTGAATAACTCTTAGAGTTAAGATACCAGGACATTAACCAGAAGAACCCGTTTTATAAATATTATTTAGCTATTGGTCAAGCAACCTAAGGTTTTGTGTTAATTTTTCTTGTATTGGTATGAAACCAACCTTGTTCTATGTCAGAAATAGTTCAAAATATATATTTTGGAACAAAAAAAAGTCCTTTTCTTCTTATTTTGATTTTTGATTATGGTTAATGTCACTAGTTGTCTGGCTGATGTGTTTGTTTAAAAAAAAGATGTATAAAGAGATAGAGATACCGTATAAATTTAAAAACATTTCAAAATCGTCAAATTTTTCAAACTTTTTTGATGTAATCTTATGGCGTTTGACATAACATGTACAGAATGCGTGCTGCAAATATCGTCAAAGAGGATGTAAAAAAAATTAATATCGTTTAAAACAGATGCTTCGATCGGAGTTATTATATTGATAAAACATATATAAAATAATTAATTTATTATTTCTAACAAAAACTGAATTTCTTAGTGCACATCACCGTTAGTTCAGAGCTACGAGGGCGGGTCAATAAGTCCGTGACTTTTCGAATGAAACACAGGTTTTTAGATAAAAAGTTATTTTATTTTTCAACGTAGTCTCCTTTGAGCTCTATACACTTAGCCCAACGTTTCTCCAGTTTTTTTATCCCTTCCGAAAAATATGATTTGTCGAGGTCTTCAAAATAGGTATTTGTTTGCGAGATGACTTCGTCATTGGAGGCAAATCTCTTTCGGCCGAGCCATTTCTTCAAGTTCGGAAACAAGAAATAGTCACACGGGGCTAGGTCGGGTGAATAGCCGGATGAAGGAGCAATTCGTAGCCCATTCATGGATTTTTGCCATGGAAACTGCACATGTGTGCACCCGTGCATTATCCTGGTGGAAAAGGACATTTTTCTTAGCCAAATGCGGTCGCTTTTTTTTTCAATGCCTCATCGAATCAACCCAATATTCACCATTGATTGTTTTTCCTTTTTGAAGGTAGTCAATGTGGATAATACCGCGTGCATCCCAAAAAACAGTCGCCATGACTTTATTGGCTGACAAACTCACATTTGCCTTCTTTGGCGCCGATTCACCCCGAGAAACCCACTTGTTTTGACTGCTGTTTGGTCTCCGGTGTGTTGTGGTGGATCCACGTTTCGTCCACGGTTACAAAACGGCGCAAAACCTCGTTCATGTTGCGTCTGAACAACGCCAAACATTCCTGCGAAATTGTCACACGGTTGCGTTTGTGGTCGATTATGAGCAATCGCGGCACCCATCTTGCGGAAAACTTTCTCATACCCAAATGATCATTCAAAATTGAAACCACTGAGCCATGTGAGATGCCTATGGCTTCCACAATGTCTCTCACTTTTAATCGCCGATCGGCTAAAACCATATCGCGGATTTTTTCAATTGTTTCCGATGTGGAGACCTCAACTGGGCGTCCAGAATGTTCGGCATCTTCCGTGCTTGTACGGCCATATCGGAATTCAGTAAACCACTTTTTTACCATGGAAATGGATGGTGCAGAGTCCCCATAATATTTATCAAGCTTAGCCTTGGTTTGCGTAATGGATTTTTTCCGCAAAAAAATAATGCTTTATGAGCACACGAAATTCACTTTTTTCATTTTCTTCTCAACGAGATAGTCTGATATTAACGGCTGTCAAAAACAAACTAAATGTCGCAGCTTGTTCAATTTTTGACAAGAGTCAACAGACAGATGACTGTTGACGGGAGCATTGTTGCCATTTCAATTAAGAGGCGGGAAATTTAAAAAGTCACGGACTTATTGACCCGTCCTCGTACAACGTGCGGGCTCGCTAATACAGTGAGATTGAAACTTTGTGATGAGTGCTTTTATTATTTCTATTTTTAGATACTTAGTTGGTATTTATGTGTCTTTATCTTTAAACGAGTACTCTAAAGCGACTTATTGAGAAAATATTTTCAAAAAGAAAATATTAGCGTATATCCTACAATATATTACTTCTGAGCGCGTATTCCCGCTGCAAAGACTAGAATTTTGGTAAAAATCTGCATCCCTGCAGTTAGCGCTTTCATTTGCTTCTGTCCGAAGCCTTCCCGCCAAGGTTCCATTTTGAATTACTTTCCAAGCATGTAGAAATTGTGATATTGACATTTTCTATTTCAAAAAAACACTTTTAAATATGATATAATATACTTTAAGACTTGTTTGTTAAGTTTAAGAATTGTGGAGTGAAAGAAGGTGTAGTTTCAAATATTAAGAAAGGTATGCTGATATGGTTTGGATAGACAGGTTTGGAAAAAAATATATGAGCCATACGGTCTCTATTAATTGCAGGCCATTAGTGGTAAAACGTCGAAGAGGCATCATAAGCAAATCGGCGAAAATGTACTATAAACATCGAGATAAACATACCTACCTACTCGTCACTCGTTACAACAAGTATAGCATAATTTTGTAACATTTTTTTTTTGTAGAGTTTTGCGAAATTATGATGAATCGGTAGGGTCTGAATGAAAACTTTTTAAAATAAAAACAATAAATGTATCCAAAAGTAACCTCAAACAATACTTGATAAATAAACAGAACGGATATACTTTCTTGTGATAATACTCTTTAAGCCTGCCCTTTTTAAGTATTCCTCTTAATTTATTGTTATTTTACCCCTCGTTTACCCGCATTTATTATAAATTATTTCTTTTTGAGATCATGTACTTTATTTTAAAAAATTACTTGATATATTAATACTACCTACTATGTTTAAATTATTAATAGTTTTGCGACTATAGGTTATAGCAACTTATAGCCACAAAACTATTTTTGTGTTAAAGTAGGTCCATAGAGAACAATATAATTTACAAACGCCTAAATGACAACTTTATAATTAAAATGAAAAACACAGCAAACTACCTCGGTATCATAATTGATCAAAATTTGAAATGGGTTGATCACATTACGTCATTAACAACCAAAGTTTGAAGATTCATTTGAGGAAATTTATGACTAGGAGTTTACTAATTGAAGACACAAGTGGATGAAGGGTTTATGTAAAAAAAATTTTTAAATAGTGTTTTTCTGTGAATGAAAGGCTTATGAACCTAAAATTCGTTTAAAATGTCTTCCGTGATGATATATCATCAAATATAAAAGTTGCCAGTGGATAAAGGACCCATATACTAGGGAATAACTGCCGAACAATAAACTTTAACACGAAATATCTCGTAAATATTATTTTGCTACATATGCCCTTCATCCACTTGTGTCTTCAATTATTATTTACAATTCACTGGTTGAATATATTTTGCGATATGGTATAATGCGGACAATATGATATTGCACTTCAACTCCTTAATGTAATCCAAAATCGTATAATTAAAATTATCTACAAAAAACCAGCATTATATCCTACCTCTCTTTTATATAATAAAAAAGTGCTTTGTATAAGAACATTATATTATCTGTCTTGCTGTACCTTTATTTATGGAAAGCCTGAAATGAGATACACTACAAATTATTTGCAATAAATATCAAAAGAAGCATACAAACATTTTTAAATAATTTGACATTTAAGAGCCATTCACACATGACAGTGGACATCTTGATACTTCACAGGCACAGCAAAGCATTATTTTGATTTTTGCCAAATAAAATGGCCGGTTAATTAATTTATCGGGTTGCGACAGAGAGCCAGTAAATTTGATGAAGGTGTTTTTGTGGCTAGGGGCGAAATAGTAGTAAGCTTAAGTTAGCACTACCATAAAAGTAATTTTTAAGAAACTGCTTATATATTTTTCATAAATTGGCAGGCTTGGCGACTAATTTAGAATAAAAATAGCCTCCAAAATGGCTGTAGTTGCAAGTATGAAGGTCACAACCCGCCTTAGCAATCTCACCTTTACAATCAGCAGCTGTTGTTTGACAGGTCGTTGGAGAATGTTTGCAATGTATGGAATGTTAAGAATATTAGGAATGTTAGACGTTAGGAATGATTGGAATTCGTAAAATTAGTCACATAAGAAAGGCATAGGCGGATTTTAAGAAAATTGATATTAAAGTAGTTAGGCTGAACCGAAAATTCTAAAAATCAATAGGGTTCTAAGTTAGAAGTAATTATTCAAGAAAATCAAAACCGCAAGTCAATCCGAACGTTCGTTCTAGAGTTATCGTGTCTGCATGACAGACAGGCGAAAATTTTTTTTTGCATTTTCGGACTGATTGGAAACCTGAAAAAAGTTTTAAGAAATGGAGGCAAGAAAGTTTTTTCGTCTGCACGAATGTAATACTGAGGCCCCATAGAAAGGGCCTCAGTAATTTTTTACCTACACTTAATATTTCAGGGCAAAATTCAGAT